GCAGAAGCTGAAGAGGTGCCAGATTCGAACCTCCTCAGATTTTCCAATGATCAACTATTAGCGATGCCCTTTGTTCCTAGTAGCATTCTTGTTACTAGTAGTAAGGCACTTGTTACTAGAAGCGATGCACTTGTTCCTAGTAGCTTCCTACCGCCCCCCCCATCACAGTCCCACAGCCTTCAACTCGTAGAGAGCTATTTGCGAGGCTGACAGAGCTACCAGCGACACAGCGAGAGGTCCAATCACCCAAGAGCGTGTGAGAATGTGGATTCAAATGATATCGAGAAGAGACAGAGAGAGAGAGAGAGAGAGAGAAGAGACAGAGAGAGGGTAAGGAGTCACAGAGGCACTCAGCAAACTCTTCGCTGCACAAGATTTGCCTTATTTTGGTCTTCAGATTCTGAAATAGCACAGCAAGGGTACAACGAAATTAGTGGTCCAATTGCCTAGAGCAGGACTCACGGGAATTTTGTTATGTCTTTGTGTGTGGGCTTAAAAGATCAGGTCAATATTCATGACACGGCGAGTCTTTGAGTCGTGTAAGCTTCCCACCGGGACGGCAAAACATTGTTGGGTGAAATGGCATGGAAGGTTCAATCATGCAGGATGGCATCGGCACGAGCATGTATTAATAGGTATTCTGCTCCACAACTCTCCAAACGAGTTACATGTGCAGCGTAGGCGTCCCTCAGTCTCTGCCAGTCGTTGAATGAGTCGAGCGCACTGCTTTTCGGGGAGGACACAACTCGTGTGTCCCAGACTTGAAACATTGAACATTTCCTTGCAGGTAGTCCAGCTTCCTCACCGTCTGAACTGCCTGAAACTCTGAAAGGTTTGGCAGAAGTTGTCAAGTCCAGGGAAGAGGCGGGAAGAACATGGAGGCCATTGCTAGTAGGTTAGAGGCCATCCCTCCTAGGATGGAGGCCATCGCTCTTAGGATGGAGGCCATCGCTGGGAGGTTGAAGGCCATCGCTAGTAGGTTGGAGGTCATCGCTCTTATAAGTAATAATTTGTCCTAAAACGAAGGGTGGTGTAGTGGAGTGCTGTTCGACCACATGCTCGGCCTGTCAGGGTGACGCTGCAGCGCTCGCTGGACTTGGAGGCACACGAAGTTACTGAGTTAAAGTGTCTCTGACTTTTGTATTATCGTCTTAGAACTTTAGGCATTTCAGCATTTTTGTTTTCTCTCTTTCCTTCCTTTGTTATTTTTTTCTTTTCTTCCTCCTTTCCTTTGGTCTCACAATGTTTCATTTGAATCATGATTCAATGGTTGCTCTCAAGGGGCAGGGCTGGTGCGACACTTTGGCACCGGCGAGAACATTGTCCTACACCTGCAATTTTTCGGCAAGAAGGAGTACGCCCATTTATTGGTTTTGCAAGAGTTGATTGCCGTCATTGTTTGCCATGTGTCAGCTTGGACATGCATTTGCGCCGGGTTGATCATGCGGGAGAGAACAAAGCATTGAGATTGGTCGAGCAAATTCAATGGCTTCAACTAACGCAGGATGTTTTTGCATTTGGATTTGGTTGTATTGTCGCTGAGCTGCATCACTATGTTTCTAACAACATGAGTCATTCCTGTATATTTGCTGCTCTTCACTGTATGATTTAAGGCCTTTTGTTGGTATCTTTGCAGAAACGAGGTTTGCTGGAGCTGTGAGCCAACAGAAATTGATGACCTTCGTTCGAAGATGAAGCCGTGCCTTGAATCATTGGTTGACTATTCACAGCTTCATTCCCAATATGCGGGCTGACCGCCAAACACTAGGAAAGATATGGAAAGATGACAAAGCTAGTCAGAGTGTGAATCGATGTGAATCGTCCCAGGTTTCTTGTGCGACCACAGCAAAGCTGCTTGGTTTCATATTGATCAAGTAGACAAACCGAGACAAAGACAGCATGGTTACAACTCAACATGGTACCAGTTTGTTTGAGAACGGGCATCAAGGTGGCGGGGTAGAGGAGGAAACAATGAGCTACGTCCTGAAGCGGAAGGGATTTGAAGAGCCTCGGAACAGAACAAATTGAATTGCCTATATATATATATTATTCAAAGTGAAAAATGGATCGCCTGAATTTGCTGTACCTGGTAGATTGTGAGGAAGAGCCAGATGACATGGGTGAGGATGAAGATGGTGATGGACCAACAGACGGAGATGAGGCCCGAACACAATGTGAAATGCCGCAGAATGAAAACTCCCCTTGCATCACAGGCCAAGTGCATCGTGCAAGACAAGCCTTGCCCCTGGATGGGACGTGATAGGACAATTCCTCCAAGATGTTCGTGCCAGCCTGCCTAAGGATTATCTTGGGAGCGAGTAGTCCTCTGGAGAAGCTGGCCCATTCGTATGTTGCATGGCTGCATACTGCTGCTGTTTGCGTGTTTGATGCTTTGACAGCTTTATTTTGGTACAACATTCGGTAACATTCGTTCAACCTTTGTATATTTTTGTATTCTCAGCATATTTTGAGGCTTTGGCTCAGTCGGTCCGACTTGGTGGCTTTGAGCTTGTGGTTGAGCGCTCCATTGCGGATACGCGGAGAGCCTTTGGTTTGAAATGTCATGGCAAGAGTGGCATGAGGTACAATAAGGACTCCTTCAACTCAATACCCTCGCAATCCCCCTCGCAGGAGTATTCCTGAGACACTTGCAGAGACTGGAGAAGTTAAACTAGAGGCTGGGAAAGACCCAAGTCTGAATTCTGTTCGATGAAATCACTTGCAAGGCACGCGAGCTTTCAAAGCAGATGGGAGAGCTTTTAATGTTGAGGCACGTCGTCGGGCAAAACAGGTGATGTGCCTTTTGGGTCTCTCCTATCCTATCCAGTGCAATCCCACCAGAATGCGTTATGCTCAGCTTTTGGGGAGGTGCTCTGACAAATTGATTCCCAGAACCCTCGTCTAAGAAGCTAGTTTCAATACATTTCAATAGGGTCACTTTAGCAGATAACAATATTCACCAAGGCCTTTTGGAGCGAGTTGTCTTCTTTGCAAATCCACCATGGCTTCGAACAACCTTCTACAAGGCATTTCAAGCAACCCTCCCACGACCTTCGTTTCCTCAAGGTTTGCGGCGTGGCTGTTCAGGGGGCCTCTCCTCCATAACATTTGCACAACACTTGCGTTTGGAGGTGTGATGTGAACTTGCACACAGATATCCTCGACACACCTGACATCTTCTGGGATGAGGCTTTGTTCTTCGACTGTCCTGCTGTGCAGACCGTTCTATCTTGAGCCTTGTTTTTTTGAATGTCAGGAACGCTTTGAAAAGATCTATGTAGCCTGCCGAACCTATTTGGACATTGCCCGGGTTCCAAGCAAGCCACTTTGTGGAAAGAAATTCCCAATGTCAGCGGAGAATAGTGGAAGATGCGACACAATGACAAAAAAGAGTGGACAGAGAAGTTTATCCAGTGCTTGGCAAGGACAAGCGCGTGGCTTCTTGGTTGAATATGGTTGTTGGAAAAGATCCGGCAAGCGCGGGCCGACATTGAGGACTCTCAGGATGCCCTTGCCTAAATACCATTATATAAAGGTCCGCGGTTTGAAGTTGGGGAATCGGGTAAGCACTGTGGAAACACAGATAAACACAGTCACAGTAATTATATAAGCCTCCACAGCCGACGAACTGTTTCTCCTACAGTTTGAAATTGTGGCAGATTTATAATGTATATATAAGTATCAATCGATCTATTTTTGGATACTTTTGGAAACTCTGTGTGGAAGCTGAGAATGCCCAGAGTTTCGGGCTTAGACAACAAACGAATTCTGGCTACAAACAAATGCTAACAAGATCTAACAAGTATGACAAAATACTGCATGCACAATTGCACAATGCCCAAAGAACATCAGTGTTAGCATTCGGCATAGAGTAAAATGACAATGAATTGAAATGTGATCGAAATCATTTGGGCCATTGGGGTGAAATCTGTTGGTTTTGTTTAGCTCAGGACATTCTCAACCAACGTTTGGTTGTGCTTAAGGCGCGGGAGTTTTTGGAGTTGCACAAGTTGCATCACCCGAGTGTGGTGATTTTGTGCGTATTCTCCACCGTTTTTGGCTTCCCTCGTCTCTGCCAGTCAGCTGGACTTTCATCCAATTCCACCAGTGACAGCAACCCGCAAAATGAAGTGACCAGGACCTCTACGATCTTTTGCAGAACAGTCTGAATGTGGTGCTGACGAGTTCTCGTTTTGCTTTTTGTTATTTTGCGGCAATGGAGAGTCGGCATGACCGGCACTTCACAGCACACTGCATGACAGGTGAAGCATGGAACAAAGTTAGAATGGATTGTCATCATTTTGATTCTCGTTGAGGCGCTGGATAATTCTGGATGGCAACACAATACTTGTAGCAATCCTACCCCATGTGTGTCAGGTCGTTCTGGAGATTATCCAGCTCTACTTCACCCCCGCTGGGTGAGTGCCATGCCCAAAGCTTCGGCAGAATGGCAGTTGCTCGGGGCCCTATAACAACTGTAAAACAGAGATGCAACATTTACCGCAAGCAAAGTATAAAGAGGTTGATTGATTGCTATCATTGAGGATTGGTGAGATGCGGGAACTTACTGCACCACCTGGCGAATGTGACATGGGCACACGAAAAAGGACATTTGGTCCGACCCTGTCAGCTACTGTACAGCTTAGATTGCACAGTTAGCTTGGGAATGGCAACTGCACCTGGGAGCTGAACTTTTGCCCAAGCAATCATATTAGACATGGCAAATGCGAAACTATGTTTCACAAATAAGAGGTCGGCTCCGAGACTAGTAGTAGGATGAGGTTGTAACATGTTGCAACTTTGTATCAACGCTCCCTAACAGTTGATTCACGAGCAGCAACAAAACGAGCAGGAATTGCCAATGCGGTGGCTGCCTAGCCACATGATGGGAGGCCATCGCTAGTAGGTTGGAGGCCATTGCTATTAAGTTGGCAGTTTCATTCTTCCAGCTACATTGTGATTGTGGTGCCAATTGCAGCTATGGTGAACGATGGTGAACGATGGTGAAGGGGCAGAAGCGAAAGCACCAAGTTGAGGAGACAGAAAACGACGAAGTTATTTCTGCTCTAAAGGAGTTGCCAAGGTGCTGCGGCTCACTGATTGTTTTTTAATGTGTTTTTATTTGAACAGTTGCGTGTTCCTTTGTTGTTGCCTAAGTCTTGCACAATGCTGGATTGGGTCTAGAATGTGCCAAATGTCCTTAAGACGCACGATGAAGCTCTTGTTTTAGTCACATGACCTGCTCACCCAATGACAAAGGGCGGAGCCTTTGTTTCGACCCTTCGGGTAGATCTTCGAAGCCCTTCAATTGTTACTTGCCCTTGAATTTGCCAATTCCAGTGACCATCCAGAAGGTTTAAAGATCATCATACATTTACAGTAAAGAGAGGCTGAGCTTGAAAGTTTGACTGCCTACGTACTCTCACTGGAAGGCTTTTCAACCTCAATCCAAGGCCAGCATTGCTAGCTTTCAGGCAAGAGCTTGCCTTGCAGCCTTTTTCACAGGCTTTGCGCTGCCTTGAAAGCTCCCTGAAGATTGACGAACTGCGGAGTTCGTGGAATGCCGAGACTGTGGCGACATCTTTGGCTGCAGCACTGGGGGATGGCTTATGGTGTTGGAGTTTTGAAACAACATCAGATGAAGTCGATTCAGCCCACAAGGCTTTGAAGACCATGCTGGAAGATGGCCGGAAGCAGTTGCTTGAAGCTTTGCGAAGTGGAGAATCCTTTTGTGCCACAGTCAAGCGCTGCACAAGCAAGAAGGATGGCCAGGCACTAATGAAGCTTGGAAAGACCCGAGTCATGTGGCTTTTAGGCTCCGGCCCAGATGAGGGGAACGATTTGAGTCAGTCGTGCAAAAAGAGGCGAAGAAGGAAGAGACGCCCTAAGGATACTCAAAACGACCAGCTTTCTGTTGATTCATCCAGTGAGTCCTGTCCTCAAGCCACAAACTCAGAGACTTTGAAGTTCTTGCAGTCGATAAAGGCTCGGAGCACCAAGAAAGGACAGCCTGCACCTTCCAATGGATGACACGCTCGACTCGACCCTCGACGTTGTTTGCGCTTTGCCGCAAGAGGGAGATGCTGGTCAATGCCAGGTGCTCAGGGATGCTCAAAGATTTGATCGGCCTTTCAGAACAACGACTACGTCGATGGTGCTTCCACTGGAGACATGGTATTTAGTCGCTCTCAAGAACTTGGAGCTGCATGCTGTATGCATTGTGATTGGTGTTGTGAGTAGTGCTGACCTGGAGAGATGCGCAGGCAGAAACGATGTGGAGATTCCAGGAACCAGGGGCAACGTAGGAAACTGTGGTCAGTTCCTGTAGAAAGCATGTTGGAATAGCCGCTAGACTCAGACTATTGTACCGTTGTACCTTGCAGACTTACACCCTTCCATTATGATGGACATTTTTTTGGTGCGTGGGTGTTCTAGTTCAGTTCCATCTTTGGCTTGGTGGATTTGCCAACAAACGAATGGCAACGTGATTGACTCATCTCTCATTTGCCCGGCTCAAAGGTCCTTTTTCCTCACAGTTGTTGTGCTTTATTATCACACTTCGCACAGCGCCATGTGCACCCCCTACTTGCGCAATCTTCAAGAGCTCAATCCTTCACTGCACCATCAATCAGCATTGAGATGCGTTGAGCACAAGCTCCCACTCGCAAGAATTCAACAAAACACTCACTCACATGCTCGCCTTTCACGCACTTGCCTCACTTGCCCCACTTGCACCAGAAGAAGTTTGGAAGAGCCATCACCAGTGCAAGATGTCTAGATCTTTGGCCAGCACGTGTCATTTCTGCTTTAGACCGACGCCGCAATGGCTGGATGCCGGTGAGCCGTCGCCAAACTCAAATCGGCGAAGCCGCTCAAGCTGATGCCAAGGCGGAGGCCATTGACAAAAATTGACACCGTTTAACCTCTTCATTGCTTAATATAGTGCTTTCACGTGCTTTCTGTGTTTGACTTACCAGCAGATGTGACTAAATGGACTGACTGACAGGTGCTGGATGCGGTAAGATGGCTCCAAGAAGCAGAAGCAATCCTCATTTGTGGGGAGCTCGAGGAGGAGGAAACAGGCGAGGTGGAGAAGCATTGAACAACTGTAAGCAGATTTGTGATGACTGATGACTTATTAAATGTGTTGAATCTTTTCAGATGCACAACGCAACTCTAAATCCTTGAAGGCCTATTTCGCTTGCCTCCCTTCAGCACTTCAGCTGGCAGTCTAGAGTATGGGGTTCCAGCACAAGGATCGTGGAGCCCTCTCCGGGCTCTTTGGCGTGAGCAATCCAGCAGCAAAGAATCCTGCGTGATGAAGCGTGTGCTGATTATTTTCCAACATATTTCAACGCGTTGAGCAAGGCATGTGCAACTGGACAGTGCAAAGTTATTCGAAAGCAACTTGGCAGTTACTGTATATTATCGTTTGTTTTCATGCCTCAGTGGCATATATTGGAGTTAAAGCCACCCACAACAGGTGATATCTGATATGTTAGGGTCGGGTGACTCGGGTGCATGCCCTTAAATTTAAAAGCATCAAAAGAGCTGCCGCTGACTCAATTGACTGTTGTGGTCACAGGAGCGACGACAGATTGAACAATATTAAACATATTTAAACAGCATTGCTGCAGAAGACACCTTTGTTCTTTGTTCCTAGTAGCGTACTTGTTCCTAGTAGTAAGCCCAGGAGCCCCTAGTAGCGTCCTTGCTCCTAGTAGCGATGCCCTTTGTTGCTAGTAGCGTCCTTGTTTGCAGGTGATCCAGCATTGGCCTGGGCATTTTGGGGGTTTTGGTCCAAACGATACTTGGAAGGCATGCCCTCTGCCTCCTGGCCGCGTTTTGGCACTTGGTGCCTTGTGTCTGATTGCCAGCCTTTTCCTTGTGCAAAACATTGTGCGACCCAGGCTTTCTACCAATGCCTCGGTGGTTGGGCTCGAACTCGGCCAAGAGGCGCAGATGTGACGTGATGGGGTTTGCCACGATGTTTGATTCAAGCTTACTACTGAGATTTGCCAAGTTTCTTGAGCCTTAATGTCTTAATGTAATTGCCAGTGCCAATGCCAGGACATGAAAGCAGAGGTAGAGATGCCAATGCCAGCGCATGAAAGCAGAGGTAGAGATGCCAATGCCAATGTTGCACCCTGCGGTGTCTCGGGCGCCTCCCCGCCTAGGCTTTAGCAGGCCGGGGTCGGCGGATATTGATGCCAGCAAACAAAGTTATTTCCTGGAGATCCAGCCAGTGCAACATCAAGAAAGAGATGAGAATTTGTTTTCCTCTTTTCTCCAGTCAATTTGGCTCTCAGATTTCGACTCACCAGGCTGTTTCTGCGTGACGGGAGAGATCTCTGGACACTGGGCTCGATCTATTGGAGAAGAGAGACTTTGGGAGACACGTGGCTCAGTGTCTCACTTGTGCCTCGTCAGGAAAGAAGAACACCCAGTGTGGCAGTGGATTTGCAGGGTTGGTTATGGTGGTCAAGGACAAGACGCAACGATCAGACAAACACAGGGTGAACAAGGTAGGCGGAGTGTTCATTGTCAAATGACCACTTGTGTTTTGTTCTTGAACAACGATGAACCATGCACATATGTCTGAAGATCATCTCTACCAGCAACCTCCGACAGGTCACTACAAGTTTTTGAAAAATGAGTTCCCGAACAGGCTACTTGAAGTGACCTGTTAGAAGGCTAGTTCTAGCTCTCCCCAAAAAACTTGTAGTGATCTGTCGGAGGATGCAATCCAATGGTTGAACCTCTTGAAGACCCTGGTCCTGAAGATACGATTCCAAACAAGAACCTCCAAAACTAAGCTAAGGGTTGGATCTTGGGGTGCTTGTTTTACCTCCTGTCCCACCCTCTGCGAGCCACGGCCTCTGCTCGTTCTTTGAGCTCTTGGCGGAGCAGGTTGAGGTGCTTCCGGCACGCTTTCAGCGGAACACTGCATTAAAGTAGTGGCTTTGGTGTGGTGAGTTCGAGGAAGGTCTATGGAAGGTTTTGACTTTGGTTTTAAGGCTACTGCTGAAGCTGCCGCAACCACCTGGTGCACGCGAAAGCGCTATATCTTTGAAGCACTACATACCCCAGAGATCGAGGATTTGATTCTTTTGCCAGTCTCTTGATCTGGCCCATCGCATCCTCATCAAGATACGTCGAAGCGTGCAGCGGTGACACCAGGTGGGCTTGGTCCCAAATTATATGGTCCAATCTCAGTTGCAATGGGTGAGTAAATGTCAGTCCAACAACTCAAAGCTAACAAGTTCAGCGTGCAGTTCACACAATCATAAATTTATCCGAGACACTTATGATATTTTGGGCGTATTTTCCACAAGAGCTGTCCTTCTTCGATAGCAGCATGCGCAAGACCTTCGGTGCAACACGGGGCCAACAACTGAGTTGATTTTGATGATTTTGCACAATCACCCACACTACCGTCTTAAAAGTCCCGGCAACTGTTGTGAGCCGATCTGAAGAGGAATGCACTGCGTCGTAGCTGCTCCACATTCTTTCCCGACAAAGTCACGAAGCAGCCAGCATTGTTCGCCCTGCTAAGAGCATTGCGCATCAAGCAAAGATTGAGAAATAGCGAAGCCACGAGCCTCAGAACAAAAAACGGTAAATAAACTGAATCCAACATTGGGAAACACTCTCTTTAACTTTTCAAGCCACTGCAAGTGACGGTCCTCAGGATTCTCATCAGCCAGCTTCAGCGTCAAGCGATGTAGCCACCATGCCAATACCACGCATTCCTTTCTTCGAGCCATGCATGGTTAAGTTGATTGCTGGAGTTCACAATGTTCAATAAGTTCAGGAAAGATTCTGCCCCATTCATATGCTTTTGTGCAAAGGTCGGGTACGAATGTGGTCCATTCGGAAACAGATTCTTCCTTAGATCCAGCACTGTGAGAAGAAGCAAAAACCTTAAAGAAAAGTCTGAACTCAGCACTGCACCAATGCAATGAAGCTTCACTGAAAAGAATTGTCCTCTGTTTCCTCAAGCAGACAAGAACACCCACATGAATCTTAGCACAGGGCCAAGTCAAGCACTAAATCACTCCAAGGTACTGATCCCAGCCTTTTTACACTCGTTGGTAAACATGATGGAGGCCCTTTGCAGTTTGGTATCAGCAGCACCAAGGCCAAAGGGCTGAGAAGGATGTGATAGGAGATACATCCTAGGCTCACACTCACACATAAGAATCGGAATCCCAGATGAAAAACATCACAATCATCACAGCTGATCACAGCAAAACAATCATGGTAACACGCTCAAGTAAACAAGCTTCAACGCCGAACCACTGCACTCAGGCACAATACAAAGGTCCGTGACATGAAGCCAGTCGTACACGACCATACTGATATGGAATCCAGGAACCGTCGTCCACGTGTGGCATTGAACAATGTTCTGAATAAAATCAGTGTTGCTCGTCAGTGTTGACCTGTGCGCTGCATTCGGGCCAAAGCTTGTGTAAATCAGCCCTTGGTCATTGTTCGAAGAGGCCGAACAGTGCAAGCATGGGCTGCTACTCACCCATGACTTTGAAGTTCTAAATGTCCTTTGGTGCCACTTCTCATCTCCTTTCACCATCGAAAGGACAAACTTCCATCCACCACAAATCTGTCCATTGTCAGACAAGTTTCGATGCTTGGGAGAGAACGGTCGGTTCCATGGATCAAGACCACTGAAGGTCCCTGTTTGTAACTCCGCCAGGCTGTGCGCCACATAGCGTTCCAATGTAGCAGCCGTGTTCGAATGAGCAACTGAGTTGTCCAGACAATATATCAGGAACTTCTTGTCAAATAGCGTTCCGTGCACTGTGAGGGAATGGATTGTCAATATACTGAATGATCGGCGGCGGTGGGAATCGGCCTCATCTCCGTGTACCGCCAATGGGATGATCCGGTCCAAGTTTGCATCCTGGGATCCAAAAGATCGAGGAATGCAGTGTGAGCATACTCCATCCAAAATCACCATGAAAAAGAAAACGACAGGCACCATCACTGGCAAGAGGCAGGATGGTTCAACACCGGGTGATACTGAAACCACTCGGTGTTTTTCATCGATTCCCAATACTCCTGGATTGCCTTATGTATACTGATCAAACGCAATGAGACACATCATATGAAAAACTTCATTCACACATTCAACAAAGTCAACAAGTCACACCATCAGGACCAACCAATTTCTCTTTGAAGAGTTCAAAGCTGTAATGATAGATATGAGAGATCCTCGGAATGGCATTGGGGCCAACCAGTTTTAAGGCTTAAGGGCTGAATCAACCACATGGAACCCTCAACAACAAACCAAGCTTCACATCGCTCGGAAGGAGTAGATGCCAAGACGACATATGCACTGAGGGATCACGGGTGAAGTCTTCCAAAAGGACTGGGACCCTGAGCCAATCAATTGGAGTATCCTGCCAAGACTCAGTCAACACAAACTTCCTCACTGTTCTGCAAGATGAGTTGCTCCACTGCAGGTGGTAGCATCTTCCGCCATTTTTGCTTATCTAGCCACCGCCAGAAAGCTCTAGCGTAGTTCTTCTCGTCCTGTGTGCTCAGAAGGTCGACAAGGTCCCGCAAATTCTTCCTTGTGAACCAAGTCAATGGCCCAAACAGACATATTCAGCAACGAAACACATTAACACCAGAAAGAAAAGGACTCAAAGCATCAAATGCCATGCAGCGGTAACAATCGGCCTGGGATGCGACGTCTAAGAACCACAAAAAGAGATACGATGGTTCCCACACTCACCTTGGCAACACCACCACAGCAAGAACAAACTTGAAGCCAAGAGCAAATGAGCAAGATCAGACAAGACACTGCACGTGTCAATGACAGGAACTCTTCCACCAAATCCATTTGTAGCGCCAGCGGGTGGAAGCATTCGCATTATGGAAAGCAAATGAATGCAAATTACTTTCCATGATTTATATAATCGTATAATATTGTGTGCTTGCACAAAAAGATCCCAAGAACTCTTGTATACTCTGGCTGTTGAAAACACACCATGTTCTTTGAACAGTCAGTGGCTTTTACATTAGCATGGCGACATGAATATTGAGAAACCTGCTTTACACAACCATGCGCGAAACAACTAACACAGAGGAAATGAAAGACACTTGTTTTCCCCGAGCTTTGTGGAGGCCCTGAGGTTCATGTGGTCACTTGGTCAGTGGTTTTTTCACCACAACATGTCCCGCTGTGTGGCTCCTGCTGCTCATACAGCACCATCCACATGGCAGGCAGTTTCTACCGCAAAGATAATCGCATCTTGGCTCCAATTGGGTCAGGGGACTGCTTGTGAGTGATGGGTGAACAGTGAAACGACAATGCAAACAGAGTTGGAGTGATCAGTGGAGATATGGCCATTAGTACACTGTAACACAGCTCACTTTCCAGATTGTTGGTGATACCCTCCAAAAAGATATAGCATGTGTCGTACTTCTCCCCTCAGGAGCCAAAGATGAAACAACCCCAAAACACAAATCTAATCAGTCTTCTTCCCCTGAGACTGATGATGCTGAACTACCAGCAAAATCAGTGGGTACTGCCTTCCCCTTCTTTGGCTTCGCCGCGTTGACCCGTCGTCTCGCTTCCTTGATATCCATGTCGACATTCTTTAAGGCGTTCTTGATCTCGACCATGAAAGACATAGTGGAATTCACATCCAAAGCCGACATCGGGGTCGCAACAGCATGCGCCACTCTTTCCAAAGCCTGAGACACAGTGCCTTCGTGCTCTTCGAGGCATTGTACCTGATGAGAGTAAGGATTCCGACTCAAATATCACCCCCAAGGGGAAAAACAAATTGTAAAACAAGATCGATCTGTGCAAGGGACGAGCTCTCTGCAGTTGCGGACGTTATAGGTCTGGATGTCATCCAGGCACGCTGGACGCTCAGCGTCCATCTTTTGCACCCTTGGGTTCCACGAACAGTAGGAGAAGCGGCTCAGGAGTCAAGAGCAGAAACGAAGTTCACAGCACTCCACAACACTCACCAATAAAACCAAATGATTCCGAATAGTTTAGTATACAGGTGACTTGTTGTGTAAAGTCTTGAGTTCCTTCATAGCACTTTCCTCAGGGCTCTTTTCCTTTGGTAGTTTTTTCTGTTTGATCTGGCCAGTCTTCAGGTCAAACTGGGGCATTGTATTTTCCATTCCCTTCAATTGCTGCGCCAAATGCTTCTTGCTTTGTTCATCTTTGCAACGACCAGAGATGGCCACCTTAGTTTGCAGTGGACTGCAACATGTTCAGACCTAATTTTTATCCATGAGACATTTCTTCGGGAACCACTCATGGAGCCACTGGTGTGTTTGAAACAGGTTGTTTCTTATTTTAGTAGGGTCACATTCGAACTTGTTGATGTCCCCGTTGTGCCAGTTTCCATCACGGGTTCCAGCACTTTGAA